TTACATTAGTGATATCTCATGTGTTCCAAATGCCTAAATTAATATTTATCTTTTAGGCTATAACTCTCTTGGAATTCGAGTATTCTCGTCGGAGCATTCGTTTGATACACAACTTAGCTTTGCTAGTAACTTATTTAATCACGTTGGACATGTTACAATATTTTATGAATAGTGTAACCTACAAGCTATTAGGACAGAGAATTGACTAATGAATGGATTGGTCTTACGGCTTTCCGTAGATTATGTACACATGCCTCTGGCATTAGTATGATTAATAATTTAAATATACAATTCACCCACGTTTCCAATCATGTGATGATATAGGGCCTAATAGCATTGCGATATGGTTTTCTCTGTTTCTACAGACATTGCACATCCCGTTATTATTATTATTAGCATAATAATATTAATAATAATAATAATAATAATAATATTAATAATATAAATAATAATAATAATAATAATAGTAATAATAATATATTATAATTAGGCCTATTATTATTATTATTATTATTATTAGGCCTATTACTATTATTATTATTATTATTATTATTATTATTATTATTATTATTATTCAGATAGGTCATAAATAATGCCACCAAAATTTCGTATAAGTAAAACACCACAAGGCACTTTATAAAGCAAGTAATAGACTTTAATCGTGATCGCGGACTCATTGAGCCCGATCGTATAGCAAACATGTTTCGAGAAAACGATTCTCATCATCAGTGCGAAAGATAACAAATTTTGCCAAAGCTTATATGGCTTTATACACATGTATTCAAAATAATCTAGGCGTATGAGTTAATATTTACCGGCAATATTATGCTTATAGACCTACGCCTCAAGTTTACATAGGCTGATGTACCGTAGTGTATCCGTGAACGTGGGGCCAATGTGCTTTTTATACTGTTATGTTGAGCGGATGTAGCTGTCATACTTTCACCTTCTGTATAGCCTAATCATCAATTCAATTTAATACGCATTATCATTCAGTTTCATATTTATTATCATTATTATCATTACTTTTATTATTATTATTATTATTATTTATTATTATTATTATTATTATTATTGTTATTATTATTTATTATTATTATCATTATTATTATCATTATTATTATTTATTAGTATTATTATTATCATTATTATTATTATTATTATTATTATTACTGTATTACAGTGTTAATATTATAATGGTGTACGTGTGTAATAGTATTGATTTTGAGAATACAGTAGGCATGTGTAGACATAAGGTTTGACCTTATGTATATTATACTTCTGTATATTGAAAGGGACAGAACATGTGTGTTTAGTGACTACGACCTTTCTTAAGAATTCACCTCATCGTAGTGCCGGGAACTGATATTTGGTAGTGGCTTTTTTCATCCTAAGGTCCTTGTTTGTATCCTACCAAAACCAGGATTATACTGAAAAAAACGACTGTACTTCCTAGGCCTCATTATGAAACTAAGTCTGATACACACGAGACATCAATAATGTTACACGTGATGCTAGGGAAAGTTCAGCAGTTTTTCCCGTTGTTACAACGTGTGAACCTAATTAGCCTAGCATAAGAGCCCTCAACTGAGAGCAGTTGCACGATCATGAACGTGTTCTGTAGTATATAATGCTACAGTAATACATAGGCCTATCTAAAATCGTCTTATATGTATGCGCTAATTTCCTCCCAACTTTGCGTGTGTGCGAAACCAGCATAAGGTATGGAAGGCCGAGTCAGTCAACAATTAGCAGATTCGACGTTCTATATTATATTGCACGTGCAGTATTATGTTTGATACTTTACATGTATTTATAGAGTGCTAATGATTTATTTAAAAATAAATATGGAGCGAATAACCTCTATTACTAACACTTAAGCTTTTTAAAACCATCTAGAAATGTCTAAAACATTTGCGCACACAAACAAAAATAATACCACATATATACTTATATATTTTCTCAATTTTTATTATGATAATATAATGATAATGTCGTAATCAAATTCGTATCTACATCTTGGTTGTACGAAAGCGTTGCTGGATTATTTAAACTAGTAAAGTAATATATTATATGAGTAATACATGGTGTACCGTATTTTTTATAATTTTTTTTTAAAGCATGAATAAACAGTTGGTTGTATTGTGACGACCCTACCCTGCTTCCCACGAAACAAAAGGCAATATTTATATAAAACGAAATACATCTGTCCTAATATTAAAGCAATTATAACTGCACAGATACATGTTGTTGCATCCTTGATTATGGATTGAACGCTTTATTATCTGGTATCATGACACCTGTTCAAATTTAGTAGTCAAAACATGATTCTAATGCGGTACACAACATGGTCGAAACACAGCGTTGACCGTGCGCTAGAACGTACTCTGTCAAAGTAATGGTATTGCGTCAAATTGTGACACACTTTTTCACTTTCATTTACGTTTAAAACACTCCCTAAATATTTCTGTTGCGAAATTACAGAACTATAGGTGTAGCCTGCCCTAATAAACTATAATATATAGTACATTATTATTATATTATATACCCTGCATCGCATAAGGAATGTCCAATTGTCCTTCAATAAGCCTCTAATAAATAATTTACTATACATATGTCAAAAATAAATATCAAATATTGCACAGATATTTAAAAGTCTACAGCTATTAACTGGAATACTACACTTCATCATTAAGAAAATAAATTACCCAATGATTTTCATTTTAATGTAGGCATATTATCATACATATAGGAATGCTTATGCATTTTAAACAATGTTTTACAACAAAATGTTAAAAAATAATGAATACTGAGAAAAAGGATGATTAGACATCCTCCTTCTTGGGTTTTCTATGCTATCCGATTTGTTCACGTGGTGTACACAAATTATCCGTTAGCATAACTTGTCGTTCCGTTACATTTCAAAAATTATTTCACAAAATTATGAAATACTCCCACTTCTGAGCAAATCGATCGTTTAGAGGGGTTTACGCTCACCTCTCATTTACGCCAATTGTCCGAACGTGATGGTTAACAAAGACAATGGTGTTGCCGCACTGACGCACTGGTCTATCATGATGTTTGTTAACTGCTCGGATGCAGTGATTTGATTTGTGTTCCTCTATATTAGGATGGCAACGAAATCACATTTCGGTCTCTCATCTTTAAGTACAGACTGAATGTCAAATAAATATAGGAGCTGCAACAAACAAAATACAAGGGCCTATATATAAGATTCTACCGTCCGATTGCATCCATTAAATTTCGTTGACTTTCGGCTGTTTGTTCACGCTGTGTTTTCTCTAAGGCCTTTAGTAGATAGTCTAGAGACAATACCATGTTTCCACGAGATCTTTGAGATCTTTTCTGGCGGTTAGATTCATTTACTTCTCTAATCATATCTAAGAAACAAGAACAACAACAAAAAAAAAAAAAACAAAACATTAACGTTACGTTTTCATGTCTGAATCTTAAAAAATAATATAAATGCACTTGTGAATTAAAATATTAAAATTTTATGATATTCATAATTATTCGCAATACACCCAAACGATAAATTTCACTATGATGTGTAATACTTCACAGTTGAAACTGATGCAGAAATTAATGATATGAATAAATATGATAGATCATCACAAATTTCATCACACATATTACGAAATTAAAACATTGTTTCCGTTCTTTCATGTTCTAGTAGGATCAATAGATTACTATTTCGATTGTAGGAAGGGAGGTGGATGATGAAGAGAAAGTGAAAATAAGAGGGAAGGAGGGAGAGATGAAAGAAAAAAAGTAAAGATAAACGAGGAAAACTGAGAAGATGAAGATGAGGGAATGGGAGTGATGAAGAGAAAAAGAAAGAACACCAACAGAGGAGAGAGAGGAAGAGGAAAGAGATGGGGATTACGACAGATGGTGAGAGGAGACAAATAAGGCAAGAGAAAAAAAATAGAGAAACGGAAATGGGATGAGGGCTCAGATATTCAAAAAGGAGCGAAGAAGAGGGGAGGGAAATACAAGAAAACTTTTACTCACCAGAAAGTTCTACGCCACGTCGTTGTCGCAAAAAATTCCCACTGTTCATGGGTCTTGCGGAAGTTGTCACGATTATCATAATCAGTGCAAACGACAGAAACAATAAACGAATTGAGGCCATTTTTATCTGTGCTGCTTTCTGAAAAATAAAAAATACAATATTATAACCTTTATGAAAATGTTTGCGAATTATCAGAACGTATGCACACGCGATTGTACAAAAAGGATTCGGCATTTATATTAACAGGGAACAGCACTGTTTCCTGATATTAATGATATAATCGTAAGTCTGTGTTAAAACATTGAGAAAGAAAATGGTTAAACCAGGGAGATGTTTACATCTCCCTGGTTAAACGATCAACTTTAGCGTTTACACTGTTTGGCGTATTACACTGTTTGGCGTATTACACAATTATTTTATTACAGGTATTATTATTCTATAAACTAATGTCAATTGAATACATGTAGGATTTAGATACCTTGGATATGTAAGCCGCACAAGCTGTAGTCTTAAAATGATCTCCTTGATAAGGTCTCATACTGTATTATAAGGCTCAATATACTACCGTTCTATTAATACGGGTGACGTTCTATTAATACGGGTGACGTCATTTTAGTAACAAGCCTTGTCGTGTTGCTATTGTGATGACGAGTTCATTCGAGCAGATTCGAGCTATTCACTATTGTGTAGCTCATGTAAATATGTCATACAATACCCTTGGTGATTTATAACGGCAAATACAAACAAATAAATAAAAATGTCTACATGCCATGATGCAAAACAATGTAAAACACTGTTTTGTTGTCAAATAATTGGTTGCTTTATCTATTAAACCTAGACGCCTAGAGACCCTCTATTTATAGCTCCAGATCATAATTGCATAATCATGAATCGTTTTCATTGCAAACATAAGAACATCACAGTTACTTCCGTTCTGATTTCTGAATGGGACTTGATCAACAAAAAGCGAAAGGATTGCCTAGTGAATACGCAACCTATAAATTCCCTTCATACATGCTTCATAATAATAGGCTTAGCCTTGTCTTTGGAATTTTTATCAATTAAAATATTTAGTTTGACAGTATGAATGATAACATACAACACTGACATTGTCAAAATGACAGACTGTTTCTATAATTTATATTCAAAACATTTGAATATATTTAAGATATTGTTCCATTTTTAAACGATTAGAATGAGCTGCAATCCTCAATTTTAGTTAGGAAATACATATATTTGATTTAATACATACGAATTTCATAATATCTTAAATTTCACATATTCATGTTATATACTGTAGGTTTACTAAAAAAAGTACTGATAAAGTATGAGCCAACGAAAAAATAAATGGCTTTTGGGAATCGAGTTTTCAATTAGGACGCTCGGGTGGACAATGTTTATTCTCTAGCTTCTCTACTTCAAACAATGTCCAAGAACATAGCAGTTTCGGGGGTCAAACGATTATGATACGGTTCATGTATTGAAGTTTAATGGGAATATTATAAAGGCTATAGGCTAGTCGAGTAGTGTATAATTGAGAAAATTAAATACGGGATCCGATAAAGCGATTTTCAAAGTATAGTAAAAAATAGTATTTAATGTAAAACATGAATCGAAATAACGGCAAATATATGCCTGTATAGCCTATGATATAAGTAATAAGATCCAAAAATCGTAGGTATACAATTGCTGTAAATTTTATTTCAAAATAGTGTACTGTAACTGTATTAAGTTTATAACAATTGATGTTTAGGCCTATCAAGGTTGTCTAGTGTGCAGTTAAATTGAACGAGGCTAATATGTTACCAATGATTAAAGTATGTCCTTAGAATTCTGATAAAAGAAGTCAGGAAATTGTTTACTTACAGTGGATGTTGATTCAGTCTTCGTATCAAAATCGAATGCCAAAGAAAATCTTCTTTAACCGAACTCATATTGAGAGGCAAATCTTAGATTTTATACTAAACGACGGCTCCACTGATTGGTTGCTAAAAGTGGGCGGGGCATAAGTCACGACTTGCGTAGGAAATGTGTAAGAAAAATAAAAATAATTAAAAAAAAACAACATTCTCAATCAATAAATATAATGTATCATATTTTTATGAAGTCTGGTAGGATGAAAAATTAAAATTTTAACTACTACAATAATTCAAGAATTAGTAGGTTATTTTCATCTAAGCATACTGTCTTACGCATAGTCTACCCAATAAAAGCAAGGCAACGAGGAAAACGAGAACGGGGTTAAATCATTAGATATCTGATGTACACTACCATGTTGTTTCTTTTATTAAAACACACACACACACAATGTGTTAATATTATGAGAACTTGATCTAACTTATATGTCTTTGCCCAAATACTTGGCGTAGGTCTATGAACATGAAGGGTTCACTGTAGGCCTATATTTTAATCAAACAATAAATCAATCCATCAATCAATCAATCTATCAATATTATTGTATAAATATTATAATTATTTTAAACGTCAATATCATTATCATTGTATTTATGCATCATTATCTCTAATATTGTCATTGTTATTATTATTATTATTATTATTATTATTATTATACTATTATAAGTAGTAATAGCCTATCATTATACAGTATAAGGATACAAAAGTAAGTGGATAAGTCAACCAATCAATCAATCAATTATTATTATTATAGATATTTTAATTATTGTAAATATCAATATTACCATAATTATCATTGCATTTATCGTTGTCATTATCATTATCTTTGTTGTATTGATATAATTTCTATTATTTGTATTTTATTATTATTTTTTTTATTAAAGATCACTGTTCATTTTAAATATCAAAAATCTATACAGTATATCAAATATAAAATACGTATAAATTGAGATTGCGAATGAATAAAAGGAAACATATAATCACTCCCTAGACAAATGGTAAAATAAATTCAAAAGAATAACATGCGCAAGGGAGAGGCAGAGCCCAAACAGTGAAGAATTTAGGCATACAGGCGACAAGACACAAGGCACAAAACAAGGGAACGAAGACACAGACTGCCCCAATATATTACAAATTTAGAGTCCTTAGAAAAAGTTGAGATCTTAATGATTTTTAAATTTGAGCAAAGTTGAAATAAGCGCCGAATTGATTTTTTCTGCTGCTAGCACTTTCGTTAAACCCCAAAGGCTGTAAGTTTAAATCTTTAGTATTTATTAGGGAGGTTTCGCAAGCTTTCGTAAACTAGGGAGGTAAACGTCATAATATTTTTAGTCAATCAATCCCGGTAGCATACCTGTTACCGTGGAGATCCCTACGACTTTTAAATAAATCGACGATCATATTCTCGTTATATGTATACAGTTAAAAATGGTACGAATGACTACTGATGAAGATGACGTATTCGTTATCACGTAAGGTTGCGAAATCTCTCTATATATTATTAGTAGTACTGTAGTATTATACAATAATAAGTGGAAGATTACTCAGGTTAGGGTTAGGTTTACAAGTAACCTACCTCGAAATACTTCCATTTTGTACCTACGTTCCTATTCTTTGTTATTCTCGGTATTCGTACAATCTGTCACTTCTTTTTTATGCGGATACCCAGTTTTTCCTAGTAATTATTAAACAATCATAAATGTTTCTATCAAATACAACTCACCGGATTTATTGAAATTTGTCACAAGTTTCGTCTTTGATTTTAGCCATACATTCTTAGCCATATACAATCATAGGATTTCTATAGTTATCTTTTTTTTTATTTTATTGAACTTCCATTGTTCGACTGGATCCGTGACATCATGTCATCAGAAACAAAAATAACGAGACCTTCCATTAACTCACTATCATTTATAATCCAATTTTCTTGGATATCTGCTTTCCCCATACACGAAATCCTCAAGTGTTGTTGTAAATAGTTCTTTGTAAAAAAAAAATGAACCATATAAAAATTATTTTACGGGCGGTCTTGCATCCGTGTAAGCGATTTACTTGTTTATATTTACGGATTAAAGATGTTCGAAATAAAGGATGCATAAAAAATACTCATATTTATAATTAATCTATGGTTGCTAACTAAGGTAGATTAAGTCTATTCAAAGAATGTTTACACTAATAATTAGTCATAGATTAAACATAATACAGTGATTAATAACCCTCGCGTTTGTTAATCATCAATACCAAACATAGGCTACGTAAAGGCCTACGTGACAAGGATATTGATTTAATAACTCTTGTCTATTCTGTTGAGCAGTAGCAGTAGTACGCTATAATAGGCCAACGTAGAAGTTACTTGTAGTAATGTTATTGAATTGATTACTCTGGTTTAGGGGCGGATCAAGTGTGGGGAAGGAGGGGCACGTCAATCCCGCCAAAAATAAAAAAGAAAAAGAGGGAGAAAAAATGGAAAATAGTTAAAGAGAAGAAAGAGGGAACAAAGTAAGTGTACCAATAAGTTAAGTGCCATGGCGGATCAAACAGTGGGCGAAAAGAGAGCTTGAAACACTCACTAATTTTCAATTGATTGACGACGAACACAACGCTATATCCCCGACGCCGATTTTCCCGATTTCATAAATCAGGGTGAAAAAGGGTTTTTATTAATCCATTTTTTACGGAATGTAATATAGTACCCAGTAGAACAGCTAACATATCTATGCTCAGTGGCGTAACGCTTATGCACTCTCGTGTGGTGGTCCGCAGGGACACCGACGCCCTTTCGATGCCCTACCCATATGGTCATCACCCCATAGAACACTGATCCAAAAGGGCTTTGTTGATACATAACAACATAATGTTTCCCTGAAATCAACAATTTTAATTTGAAAAAGCTTTTTGACCGTCTGAGAGTGCCATTTCCGAACGTCTAGAGGAGCCCTTATTCTTAAAATTTGCTTAGCCATGGTTGGGGCTGAGGTGGGTGTGAACTACCTATTGGGCTCCCCAGTCAGACAATTTCTGGATCCTCCCAGCTGTTAATTTGACCTATAATTATTCAATACTCTTCAATTTTATTCCTATACCGTATAGGCCTACATTATATTATTAAGCTATATAGCATTGTTGTGCCGTTCTCATGCAAGATATTTTGAGCATAATATCACCTCGCCTCACCTATCCACCTATTGTCAAATGGATGTAATAATAAAACACGTAGGTGGTAGCCTTAATTTTATTATGAACATACAACGAGATCTTTCTAGCATAACTTTGGATAAAAAGTGTTACGCCCGTAATACTGTATGTTGTTGTCATTGTCAATAAACGTTTGGCTAACCAAATACCACCTACGTACCGTACTTTATTACACACCCTCCCCACACTCACACACACCTACCCACACACACACACCCACACACACACACACACACACACACACACGCACACACCTCCCCTTCCTCACACACACACACACACACATATATATAATTATATATATGTATATGTATATGTATATATAAATGTATATATATATATATATATATACATATATATATATATATATAATATAGTTATAATACACAATATGAGAGCATATATGGGACACAGCGGTGGGATGGTGTCATGGTTCCCCTGCTCTAGAGTGTTTTCGATTTAGTTTCTTTCGTAGTTTCTTTGGTTACCATTAGGATTTATGGATTGGGGATGTAGGCCTATTGCTTTTTTGTTATTATTTACCCAAAAACAGAACAAATAAAAATTATCTGCAAGTTATTTTTAAGGTATTTACATTTCGAAAATTAGAGGCTTTGAGAACAGAACAAATAAAAATTATCTGCAAGTTATTTTTAAGGCATTTACATTTCGAAACTAGAGGCTTTGAGCCCTGTTCTTGCGAAATAAAATAAGAGGGGGCGCACTACCGAATAATGGTCTGAAGACAGTAGCTCATTGTTCACAGAAACTATGTAGTTTCACATTTAATTGACGTAAATAATCACCTCTACTAATTTCTGTTTAATAAACACACTTGAACAATCGACATTTACATTACTAAACTTTAGACGGTGGGTCGTTTGTCGTTTCTTGGAACAAGTTTTACGTGTTTGATTTCATCTCGACGTTAAGTTTCAAGACCACACAATACTTCAGTGTTTTGTCAGCGTCACATGCAGTGTTCTCAGAGAAAACCATGGGTGTGCGCTGTGTCGAATGTTCGACAGTTTAAATGTGTAAACATTGTATTCTATGCTGTTTCTAAAGCGTATTGTTGCCTTTAGCAAGACACTATGAAACATTATATACCATTGTAATTCAATTGCTTTTTCATATTTCCTCAATGAAGCAAAAAGACCCAGGTTCTGAAAGACGGTCGTTGCGAAATCGATATTGTCATTGACTTCATAATTTTATCATTCTCTTCGATAGTTCAGCATCAGTGGTGGCGTCAGCTTTCTAATGTTGAAATCAGCTTCCAAAACCAAAACATTTTGAATAAAGCAAGAAACAAAGAGTATGCAATGTAACCATCTAATTTATTATCAAATCCTCATTCTTGAAAGTGAAATTCTATATTTTGGAAGTTTTGCATGAAATCTGTCAACCACGCTGCCATGGTCGAGATTGCTTCACCTATCACGATGTATTCCAACCATCATGAGGCTATCTAAATGAGCATTTGCCATAACAGAACGCAAATTATTTTTAATTAGTCTCATTGAATTATTAATATTATTATTATTATTGTTATAGTTATTGCTATTGTTGTTGTTGTTGTGATGAAAAGTTAACACAAACAATATGGTGGCTAAACGAATATTACATGTAAATATTTATTTTTATTTGTTTGTTCCCCGACAAAATTTATCGTCTTCCCCGACGGGGGGTGGGGGGGGGGGCTATAGCTCCCAGCCCCACTGGTGCCACCACTGTTCAGTATGCGCTTCATTTAAAGAAGATGCCTAAACTACAGATGGTATACAGTAGGCCTACAGCTATACTTCTGAAACATCGTTTAACAATTATCTGTGATCATCAGGGCTTGGAACGCAGGGTTAGGTTTTGGAAACCTTGGATTGGAAAAATTACGTCCCAGAGATTGTAAAAAAAAATATCTTAAGGCCTGTTTACACTATGACGATAACGATCAACAATAAAAAGATAAAAAGCATTTAAAGCAAAAAGCAGCCATTTCATATAGGCCTAGGCGCAATGTAATTATACAATGTATCTAGTAATGGTATAGTATGATTCGTGTTCAGTATGCTGTTAACGTGTTCAGTATGCTGTTATATTGTAATATATAGTATTTGTATGAAATGTTATATCTTTTTTCTGTTAAAAAATTTAAGATGGCATTTAAAAAAAACCATCCCTTTCTAGAGTAAATAGTTCTTGGGCATAGACCCCAGGATTGCGCAAAATATTATAGAATTTTTCAATACGGACAGAGATTCCGAGTTAGGCAAAAATTTGTAGGCGTGAGACTGCTCTGAAATCTCCTCCCCCTGTGAAAAAACGAGGGCGGGGGGTGGTGGGGACTTTCCGTATGTACACATTGTCTGTTTGTAGTAGGTCTGTGATAGAATACGTGGTACACCCCTGTATCCTAAATATTAAAATTTCCTCTTTTGTAATGTAAATAATAATTCTTGTATCATTCGGCAAGAAAATGAATTACATGCAAACTTGGGAGCTTACTTTAGGCCTTCATCGTAAAACACTAAAGTATTTCGCAATAGCTATGAATGATGGAGGTAGGCCGTGTCAGGTGCAATGAACGGCCGTTTATAATTACACAGGTAGGGCACCGAAATGTTGACAGATTCCCTTCTCACACGTGCTGAGCCATGCTGGGAAACTGGGTGGTTCTATTACTACGTAGAAGAGCAAGTTGTAGAATCTTTCACATTATTTATCTAAAACCTTTTATCCTAGAATTCTAGTAGTAACGGTGGATCAAGGCGTCATGTGGCGGCTCTTATTCTCATTGGCTCTCTTCAACGCCTGGTTCTCTCAGTTTCTCTAGAGTGAGTGAACTCACTAATTGTCATTTAAAAACAAACTCTTTCAAATTCAGAATCACAATCATGGCCGGCGGAACTGGGAGTCCCTACTTTTTGGCAGAACATATATAATGTCTATGCAGATTTTTGTATCATCGGAAAGAAATGCAAGAAAATAAAGAGTGAGCCCCCTCCCCCCACACACACACACACATATTGAAAAACGTTCCGAAGGCCCTGAGCTTTATTCGGATTTATTTTAGTAGGCCTACAGTTGCACTGGACAGGATATCTTCTCTGTTGGTGCATCCAAGTTATAAAAAACAAATATAAAATCAATTTAACAATTAATCAATTAAAACTAAATTTCTGAAAAGTTTGGTACTATAACACTTAAAGTTGGTGGTCCCTCTATTACTGATATACGCATTGGCGGCGGATCAGGAGGGGGTCGAACCCTGTGCTGGCTTAAGTTCCACTATAAAGAGTTGGAAAGCCACCCCCTCCCACTCCCTCACCAAACCCAACAAGGACCCTCATTTTTTTTCATCCCGAATTTCCTTCAGTTGCCTCGTTTCACCTGCCTCAATAAGCGGCCATGTAATCCTACGAGGGTTTCTGGTTATTATTGCGGTACTGTAACGTGTGTTCTAAATCAAGCAGATAGTTCATTCGCATGCAATATCTCCTATTGCAATTTTAATCTCGTTTATGTTGAAACAATTATTTTTTAAATAATTTCTTAGTAAGCTCATTTTCTAATATAATTACAGCATATGTATAGTGATATGTTTAATTGTGCATCAGAAATGGCCCAATGGGTGATTGAGTACACGGCCTGGCATAGACACGTGGGTTATCAATATCTCCGGAGATCGATTGATGTGTGAACGGAAGCTCCGGTTGGTTGAACTTTTACTGCTTTATGCTGTTTAGCATTAAATTACGATTAAAAAAAAATTAAATAACGCCAAATATATAATAAGAATTATTATCAATTTATTTCTTATCGTGTATATAGGCTAATGATCGTTTGAATTTTTTATATTACAATTAATATTGATTATTATTATTTTTTAATACGTTTTTTTGAGTAGTACCGTAAAATACAGGACTCGAGGGTCTAAAGGGAAACCTTTGTGACACCCAAGGGCGTCGACCCGTGGTTGAAAGTGTGGGGGGGGGGGATAACGAAATGAAAAATAAAGCCTTGGGCAGTAGGCCCAAGCCTTGGTTTTGGACCAGGGGGCCCGGAAGCTCTGGCGCCTATAGCTTTTTAATTGATTTTAAGCAATGCAATTAACATTTATTTCCATACGAAATTTTCAAAATATCCAGTGGCGTATCCAGTAATTTGAAATAGAGCTGGGCCCAGAGAGTGACTTTCACAGATGGAGAGTGTAGACCACCTCAGCCCCACCATGGTTAAGGCTGAGGTAAGAAAATTTATGATTATGGTACCTCTCTAGTTGGTCGGAAATGGCACTCTCAGACTGAATTTGAAAATAATTTTCATTTTTCTCCACTTTTAAATTTCGGAAAAAAAAGGATGGTGGGTCATAATTAATATAATAAATATATTTCGTACAAACTAACATTCATAAAAATAATGATTTATTATCTACTGATTAGCTTGTGACGTATTCAAAATTCGAACCATGAAAAACAAATAAAATAAACTTAGGCTTTGTCTGCACTATCAAACTACTTTACGATCAAACAGGACTAGGGAGATACGAGGAGAAATTTATGATTATGACACCTCTACATTGCCGGAAATGGCACTCTCAGACCTAAATTCTAATTATAATTTTCCTTTGTTTTTTCCATTTTTAAAAAATAATTTTGAAAAATTTAGTGTCGGCTCGGCCGCCCCACTTGAATCCGCCACTGATTATTATGACGTCATTGCGAGATTGCGTCAACGTAACATTGGAGTTTGTAAACTTTTGGTATCACTAAATTGAAATAGATAGACATGTCCGTGTCAAAGGCTGTATAATTATTGTTTATGGCTATATAAAATTCAATTGACTAACTCTCATTTTTTGAAATTAGGAAAAACAGTAATCCTATGTATGTTGATAATATTAAACACTAGTATAATTATACGTACGGGTCATAATAATATACCGTACAAAAGGAATAAATCGTTTATAGTAGAAATTGTGCACTTTTGAGTTTGTAAAAATATTTGCCTAATAAGTATACACGCTTCAATTTTAACAACGTTCAGTATATTTTTTTTACAATAAATTTAGCCTCTGATAACCGCTGCACCCATAAAATCGATCTAGTGGTTTCTGAGATGGTTACAAAATGTATAAACATTTGCGTTTTTTCTCGGTTTTGGTCCTGAAAATACGTACCTCACTTAGAAAAGTGAACAGACAAGATCCATGAGTCATGCATAATTGTTATTCTTTCCATTCGCTTTTAAAAGTGAGGTTTTAATCAGGGGTTGGAGGGGCTTTTTATAGGACCTTAACAGAAGTATTTAGTATGTTTTTTTTTTTAAATAAATAAAATAAATAGGCCTAATAATAAGATTTATAAAGCGCACATTATTATTATTATTATTATTATTATTATTATTATTATCTAATTAACTTTTGACAATAATTTCGTTGATGATTTTGTACATAGGCCCTATTTTTACATTTTTGATATTTTTACTTGACTATTTTATGCTAAATGTTCTCATTGGAATCGGAGAGCCACTAGACAGTAATTTAGTTCACCTTTTAGCAATCTTCTCTGGTCAATCGGTGTCCTCTCTCTGCTATTTTTTGTGTTTGTCGGTTTTATTGTTCTTTGGACTAAATAAATGAAATTTAAAAAAATGGTTAAATAAAGTATACTCCTGGGACACCCCTATTCAGGGAACACCTTTCCGTAAAACGATGAGAAAATATATTTTTTAACACTGCCAGCCGGCCGTGAAAGGACACCCCAATGAGACGGGCATACTTTCTGAACGTGCCATTTAATGTTCAATTCCATTTTTAACTCCTTAGTACCCCTATTCGTGGGAAATTCCTATTAAAGGGGCGACATACGTTTTTTGTATTACTGTAGTACAAATCCAAAACCGAGAAACAACAGAAATACTTGCTAGTAAGAATAATTTTCAATCTAAAGGATTAATATGATCAAATTTACATAAATTGCCTTATGATTCAAGTATCAAAGAATGATTGATATTTTACAATAAAACAACTTTTTTTTCGATTTTACTTTATAGCATGAATGGAATAATACTATTTATTTAAACATCACACAGTAACATAACAATTTAAAAAAATACACAAAAAAGTATGTATATTACGTTCATAAAAAAATCCCCCTCCCAAAAGGCTCATAAAAAGCTGCTACAGTTGTTTAATAGTATCTAGTGGAAGTCCGAGCTCTATCAAGATTATGAATTTGAAACAAATTTCTTTGTTAGCTAGCATCTCAGCTTTTTTTATTTTCTTTTTGAAGGGTGAGGAGAAAAATTATTGACTGGGAGGCATGAGATCGTTTGCCTATTTTCTAAGGCCGATCACTGATGTAGGTGATGCAGGGTTGAAACTCTCTGAAATGTTTAGACATTCTATGAATTTTAAACGGTTTCTGATATTTTAATGGTTTAAACGATGCCTAAGTTTAAGTTTAATTTCACCCGTATCTAATTACGTCTTGGCCTACATGAGTTTTTCAATGTTGGTCTACATACGTATACACTGACCCAAAATAGGCCTACTTTTAAAGATGATGTCGATTTATCTTTTAAACAATAAACATTCACTTCAGTGTAGGCCATATATAAAATAATAATAATAATAATTAAAAAAACCATGCCACATCATGAGCAAGTATCGTACGAAGCAGCATAAATAAAACGCTTTGACTATGTTTTGACGAAGTTGGAAAAGTTACAACTTGAGAACTTGAGAATAAAATTGGTGGCGCTATCACTGTTTACAGCTCCGCGAGAGCGAGCGAGTGCGCCATGTTGGGAAGGGTCGGTCTGAATCCTAAACAAGATTTCCGTGTACGATCAGTGAACCGTCCTGTTTTGCCGGGCTTTGTGGCTAAATGTTTATATGCGCTTATTTTAACACGAAGACAAGATACAAAAGGCGACTGACGCACTATTGAAAAGAAAGGTTTGGTTTTTACGTTTGATAACGCATATTTATGGATTTTTAATGCGCAAGATTGGGTTTACAGCGGAGGTAGGCCCAGCCTAGGTAGGCTAGGCCTAAGGTATTCTCAATCGCCTTGTTGGCCCTTGAAAATACATCTGGCTCGCTGTCTAGTTGATGAATGACTGACTACTGTGACTCGCTAGCAGAGATGGGAAGAGGGAGGGGTGACGACTGAAAGAATTCCCAATGGTTTAATTAATAATTAATGATTAATCGTTTAGAGTGTATGTGTTATGATATCGTGATTTAAATAATCCTGTGCTGTTCTGTTTACAAAAACAATACATCATTATGACATTATTAATTAAATTACATTACAATCAGAATAGGGCATACGTAATACTATAGGGCCTAGGCCTAGGCCTAGCTACTACTACAGTATAGCCTAAGCCTATATAGGGACCAGGGTAGGGCTTGGTTAGAATTAGCCTTTAAGAACAGAGGGAGATTTGGGGAGTGAGGTGGCCGAGTTCCCCCCCCCCCCCCCCCAGTAAAAAAAAAGAAAAAAATATTAACGGAAGAAAAAGAAATTATTGATGGCCCAAAACACAAGACTTTTTCCGGGTGACTAGAAAACAAAAATTTCTTGGACCCCCTAGGGTAGTGTTGTCTCTCGATCTTTTTTTTTGGGCCCCCCCTTTCAGACATCTATGAATCCACCTGAACAAGTAGACCAAATAATGCTCTAAGGAGGAAGTTTTTTTTTTTCAAATGATTTGGTAATGATTTGGTAATAATACAAACAGAGAGAATAGCTAAAATAATTGTACTACAGTAATAAATACATTAGGCCGACCAGCCCTCCTTAAACTAACGTTAGAATACCGCACTTTCGGCGGTAAAGAACAATTAAAACCTCATAAAAAAAGGCAACTAATCCGTTTACCCATAATTGAATCCAAGGAAACCAGTGTTAAACACTCAGTACTTATCCTTGATAATGTGTTAATCCAATTAATATAGTGAGATAACGTAACGTTAGTTTAAGGAGGGCTGGTCGGCCTAATGAATTAACAAGCATTATTAACAAATGCAATTTGCTTTATAAAAGCAAATATAATCATGAAAATACAAAAATATTAAGATATTTTGCACAACTTTCATTCATTTAAGTCCTACCTAGCTGGGACGAATTTAAAGGGATGGCAGGACATGTCTAACTATAAAGGCTTGTACAGTACTTAAATATCAAGAAAATCATAAAAATATTTTTTGAAATTAACTTGCCCATTTTGAAGTAACATTTAAAAAGTTATCAATCTGAACATAGAAATTAGTGTTTTTTTTAAATGTCTACCCATCAGTTTACAGCAAAAAATGATAGAAACAATTCCAGTCACTGAAAGTGTTTTATTATTCTTATTATAATATGTTGGTTTAAAAATCAGGGTACACATTTTTTAAATTCAATGCACAAGTTAATAATTTGTATGTCATTGCAAAATGAGCAAGTTTATTTCAAACTTATTTTTTATGATTTTTTGACATTAGTATGGGACAATACATCTTTAACTACTTGAGCATGATTTATTTTTTTTGGTGGGGTGGGAGGTGTGACTGGGAGGGTGCTAGTATTTTTTTGGGGGTGTGTTAACCCCACTAGATTCGCCACGATCAGTAAAAACTTTTACTCACAGTAAACTGTCCACTAGTTTTAATTTTATATGACAAATATAGGGATATGCATGTGATACAGGTATGACATCCTCAATCATGCCTTAATACACTTATGCAAATCACAGAAATTTGTAACATAAACCTGTTTTATGTGGAGAGAGATTTACAAAACACATTGATAAAGTAAACCGATATGACAAGAAAAGAGTTAATCAGTCCATTGGTAGTCAGTTTCCTGTTCTCATTTAAAGTGTTACCGAGTTCTTTTTAACAGATCGATTATGTAGAACTTTAACTTTGTATCAACCGAGCAGTTAAACAATTAATGATACATGATTTTCTTTTTATTGCTGTTTGATGGCTATACTTAGTACGCCCTACATAGCTTTAATTAGGCCTATGACCTACAGAAATCATTCATGCATTTCACTTTTCCTGATTGTCTAATTGGAATTGATTTAATTTCACTTAATTTAACATGAGCAATCATTTTGGCATTTTTTTTAAATGTTCTCAGTGGATCCAGGAATGGTTTGTAAGTTAGTGTTTTGTTCAGTTTATAAATTAAACATCATCATTTAAAGATGTATATTGTCGCTTGAAAATGACAAAAAAAAAAAAAATCATAAAAAATAATTTTTAAATTAACCTGCTCATTTTGCAGTAACAAAAAATACACTTGTGCATAGAAATTTTTGAATTAAAAAATATGTACCCTGATCGTTCAAGTTTTGCTATAATTTTTTGCTGTAAAATTATGGGTAAACATTTTATTTAATTACAATTTTTAATTACACTAATTTCGACAGTGTGTTCCAAGTTGATAATTTTATGCTACTTCAAATTGGGCAAGTTAATTTCAAAAATGATTTTTATGATTTTGTGGGTATTTAGCATCTTGCATCTGCCAGGCTATCTGGAGGGAAAAATGTTGCTATGTTGTACAACTGATTTTTCTAAGACACAAAAAGCATATTTGACAAAAAACTTGTGAGTGGTGCGATAAATGTTTATTTAAAAACTAGGTGAAAAAGGTAGAAAAAATGGTGGTTACACCCCTGTTTCTTCCCGTTTTTAAGTATTCAAAAATCTCTATAACCGTTCACAAGTTTTTTGTCAAGTACAGTATACTTTTTGTGTCTTTTTTGAGAAGTCATATCAAAAAAAGAAAGATTTTTCTCCAGAGCCTGATTTTAAGATGTGTTTGATCTGAGATTGTGCGTTTCAGAGTTTCTTCATCAGTGCTTAAATACCACAGGACAGAGTTTTTCATATTTTATTTACTCTGTAGGCGGTAGGAATTAATGTGTACAGTAACTTGCAGTATCATTGTGTTCACTTGTGTGCAGGGTGTGGTCAGTGATTTTTGATCCATTTGATTAAAAATATCTACTGTACTGTACTGTATCCATCATACCAAATTTAAAATGCTAATTTGACAGTAAGCGGTAACTGTAAGCTTGAAACAATGGTGATAGATAATACTGTACATTTTTCAGAGCTTACTGTATAATGAATGAAGGTACATTATTATGCATTGGTTGTGATCCTGATTCTTTATTTATAATTAGTGCCTGTACATAGTTTATATTTAGTGCATACGTGCGTAAGCAATCTGTTCGTTGTATGAATAGGGTTTGCTAATGAATATGTGTTAAAAGTAACACACATCGTAGCATAAGTTGAAGTGCTTTAGCAATTGTCAATAATGGATACTTCCTCTTTGAAGGCAGACCACTGACTCAACTTCCTGGACAAGCGTAGTAGGCCTCCTCACCACACATTGTAACAATAGGGACATGACAGGAGTTGGCACATCATCATACTCATTATACTGTAGGCCTACTGTACACGTAAAATCTGAATTGATAATAGGCAGGTTGTTGCAGTGGTAGAAAATTATAGGGTGAATGGTAGACATTTTAAGGGTGGGTGATAACATTGGTAAACTCTAAATCAATCAATCAATTAATCATAATCAATCAATCAACAAATCAACTTTTAGACTTGCATATCCAACAAAGATAAAAGATAAATTTAAACTGTATATTCAAATTATAGAATATTGAGTGAATTTTAAAGATCATACCCACTTTGCCAGTAGTACAGTAGGTGGAGGGCCATGAAATTTGCTTTCGACTAATACTGTATATGGAAAACTTCAAGGATGTGTGACCCACTCCCCCCCCCCCCCCCCCAACTCCCCCCCCCCCCCTCCAACAATAACAATGAAAAGGACAGCCTTCTGAAGAAATCCACTACATGGTTGATGAAAGGTAGAGAAAATAAATTTATGGTTAGTCTTTAAAGTGCAGAGTTCTCTTGTCATTGTTATTTATTGCTGTATCTATTAAAAGAACATAAATTGCATGCAAGGCAAGATAGTTTGAGTTGAGTGACACTAGTGGGCTAGCAGATACTCTAATTTAACTTTACAGTACTTACAGTAATTTTATTGGGCTAGGGAAGACTTTGACCAATTAGGCAATAATTTACAGGATGTGCATTCATGACAGATCAATCATCAATGTATTATTAATTAATTAACATTTTATTTTACTATTTTAGTCTACTTTGGCCAAATCTACATATGCAGAGAACGTAGGACGCCAGGTACAGTAGGACGGTCACCCGTGAGAGATTCTGTTCTAGCGTCGCGTCGCGTCGCACAAATCAAAATCTCCCTTTAAATATCTCAAAATCAACAAAAATGTCAGTTACAGTACGTTGTTTTGCCTCAGGACGGTCGTGAGGAGCTCTAGACTCGGATGATTGATTATATGATTGATTGATTGTTTGATTTGATTAATAGATCTTTTTTTGTACGGGTGGCTGTTATTGCCAACACATTCTACTGCCCTCATCAGAGCTTTTGAGATTACGGAAACTTGTTTAATTGCGTGGATAATACTGTACCTTAGAAACCACTTCAAGTTTGAGTGGAAAATTGCTACAAAATTAGGTGCGCAGAATCGTAATTACTGCAAAATATATTAGGATAAGGTCAAAGCCTATTTTTTGGCAAATTCTGTATGGAAATTGGCCCTCATTTTCCCAAATGCACCTAACGGATTTCTAGGCAAACTTTTTGCACAGAAGATTATATTCCCTGTGCAGGCCTTACTTTACAGTCTCAATGAGTCAAACATTAAGCAGCACCTACAGTATGTACCCTGCCATCATCAGTCAAATGCTTTTGTGGGCTTTGGGTTATGGGGAAGTTAAAGCCACCGTAGCGAGTTTACTCATCGTTTCGATGGTTTTGAGGCAAAGAGAAAAGAGCATGCACAGTAATTGTCTTCTGGTGTCAGTACTCCCCAGCTTTACTGAGAGGCTCACCACTGACAGACTTCCACGGGAAGAACATTTTTGGACTTTGTACTTAGCTTATCCCTATTAGCTTTACACCAAGAAATCCCATCTAGTCCAGTTTAATTTCCATGGATTTGATTGATGTAAACTGTATTGAATGAATGATGTTTTTTGTTAATTTAATGTCAAAGAGATATCTTTACAGTAGTTTCCCCATGGAGATATGTGTTTTCATTCATGGATACACTTCCTGTATTGTGCGTTGACGATGTGTGTTGAGGATGTCTGAAGTAGGAAGAAAAACTGTGTTTTACTGTTTGCTTCAATCAAGTACCGGTATCGTTTCTGTCACTAATTTCTTCAAGCTGTCATTTAATGTAATATGAAGTACTGTAGATGTGGGTGTTATAATGGGTTTAACAAGTTTCATTGAAATATTTTATGCAACCGATACCATGTGGAAACATGGAAAACCCCACAAAAGTTAAATCATTCAAAAGGATCCAAGTTATGACGTAGACTGTCTGAGTTGGTTTTAAGTAACCTGTGTATGTAAAAAATATAATTTAATGCATCTTCTTAGGTATGCTAAATATACATTTAGCATTGTTTTATTTTGAGTTTTTAACTTCAATGTATTTAATTAAGCAAATTTTTATTGGTAATTACATTTTTACTTGGGAAATTACCGGCCTACAGTGTACAGTAGGTCTATATACAAATAATATAGGAAAGAGATTTAGTGCATCTTTGGCAATAATTAGGTCAGTATTATTTTCATTTTGAGTATTTAACCTAACATATTTTTAGTAAAGCAAATTTTAAGAATTAAAAAAAAATGTTCATGTACCATATTTTAAATTTGAATAAATGCCCTGTTTTGAATAAATTCCCCCTCGAATAAACTCCCCTTCTAGACCCTAATTTCGAATAAACACCCTTCAAAAATCCCTCTCAACAATAAACACCCATGGGGATTTATTCGATTAAAAATACAATATATTATATCAGTACAAAGAGTATTCTTAACTCCTTAAACTTAAAACATCTACATTGTTTATAATTCAGAGCTCAGTAGTCATTAAAACTATTATTTCATTCTATTTTGCATCATGACTATAGAAAGTGGTGGCGGTGAATTTTGTTTTATATCATTCAAATTATTTTTTTATTGATACCAACAAATTATTTTTTATTAATTGATTGTATTAAATTGTTAGATATGATATTATTTTTTAATTTGGATTTGACACTTTTCCTTGGTTAGCAGATGAATGTCTATATAATAGGGGTGAGTCAGTCTTTAAATTTGGCAGTCACCCGAACAATTAATCCCTTTTTGAGTAGGATAATAACTATTCATGTTTTGTAATCCATTTTATTATATTTCGGGACACTGATGATGATTGCAAGGCAGATCCAGAATTGTTTTCTTGAAGAGGCACCAATTTCATATAGGCCTATATGTTATATAATTATACAGATACAGAAAATACAGTAGCCTAGTACCAAATAATGGTTCATTTTAAGTACAGTAGAGTATGCTGTAAACAAAGTAGTGTAATGTTTACAGTTAGTATTGTGAGGGCGTGTAAGGTGTTGGACTTCTGGTTGTGAGATCGGGAGTTCAAGACCAGCGTTCGTCACATTGCTTGTGTCCTTGGGCAAAGCTCTTTACTTAAATTTGCCTCTCTCCTCCCAGGAGTATAAATGGGTACCTGGTAGGATTATGTGGCATTGCATGTATTAGTTTGTTCGGCATTTAATTGTGTACACGACTAGGAATACTCCTCACGGAGTGGAGGAGGTTGCACTTCGTGCTGGTTTGATTACGGATCCAATGACCAGGGGTAATAATAATATAAACATCGCCAGTGCCTTATATCGTTGGCAAATCTCTATATTGTTTGTTAGACTTGCCGCAAGTGGTTTTTTGGTTTTTCCTAGTGTTAAAAACTTTTGGAGAGTGCCATCAACGTCTGGTTATATAAACTTTTTATGTTGTTGAATTTGGACCGCGGAATTAAACTTAGAAAAAGTATAGTATGGAACGCCATGCAAATAGGTAATATTCAACACCATTGATGACAAAATTGATTTATTTTTTGCCCTCTCTAGCAAAAACAATTCTTTCAACTTTGACATCAAAGATCATTAACTAAAGATAACACATCTCGCGATTTCTGCATTCAAATTTTGTATCAACCATTGGTAGCAACTAGGAAGAACTATCTCGGAAACAATTACTTTTTATGCTTCTATTTTTGTTACGCGTAAAATCGCGGAGAGCGCTATCTTGTAAAATATAAGATCTTTGCTATGCTGTAGGCTGGGTTCCCCTTCCTTAGCCGCTCAACAACTTGACTCGTCAAAAAAAATCCTAAATTTTCAGCCTCTGAATGGCTGCTTCAAGTATACATGCTAGCTGTGCGTCATCATTTGAATTGAGCAATATACAATAAACTCTTGTGTAAATCGAACCAGTGACCTTTTAAATCCATCTGGTGTTCTGCCAACCAAGCATTTACAGCCCCTTTGGCAATGATTATTCCCAGTGCACCTAAGGGTCTTGGCATGTAACTCTGTGTATCAAGGATTTCTCAACGTGAGAACACAAGCAGAGATCATCAAAGAAGATGAATGGTTTTTAAATTAATAACAATAATTGACATGTATATAGCGCATATTGCACTGTGCCTCTATTGGTGTGTGTGGGCCTACTGTAGAATATACGGGCGGTACAAATAATATGAAATTATTAAAGCCATTTTGCTATATACTCGCTCTAAAATGCAAGGTGTATACATAGAGTTACGTCCATGTTCTATACCTTAACTATTATTGATATTTTAATAATTATATTAAATATTTTTCTTTGACTGTTTCCTCTTTCAGTACTAATCTATGTAGTCTGAATCCAGTTGACTTCAACTTTGCACTTTGCTGCTGAAGGTAAAGTAAATCAGTTCTATTTGTCTTGCCATAAACGAACAACAAAAGCCAACATCTATTTAAATAAATAAATTCAATTTGTTTAAAGTATTTAAATTGTTTTTAAATTAATGTTTTGCATGTTCAATGTGTGATTGTATAGTTTTGTGTTTTATATTTCTTTTATGCAGTGTTTTTTGTATGCAGAAAGTGAAGGTCTGCCATCTGCTATTAATTTTTTTTTGTGTCAGAATAAATGAATAAATAAATAAAATATAATTCACGAGGATCATCCATTAATTAGCAAAAAAAAAAAAGAAGAAGAATCAAGCTAGGTGAGACTTCTTTTTATAACTTGTAAAAAATGAAGATAATATAAATTTGTGTTTTCTTATTTTATGGGTTGGCGGGGTGGGGTGGGGGGAGGTTCGACATTAGGAATCTCCTTTCCACAAGAAATTTGACAAATTTTTAAGAATAAAAAAAAAAATGATAAAAATTTACTAGTTAAAAAATTTATGATGTGCTACTGTATATACAGATAAACAATATTAAAAGAAAAATAAAGTGTAAAAAATCATAAATTAATAAATAAAATTTTAGAATATTAAAACATACATTATAAACTACAATTTTTTTTGTTTAGTAGTATTGTTGCAGTAGTGGATGGCAGAGGGTATCCTTGGATATTTAGTGTTCACTACTACTATATTTAATAATAATAATGGTAGAATTATATAGCGCAAGGACCTCTATGCGCTTCACATTATCATTACCCCGTTCATTGGATTAAATGCCTATGGAACACAAACTCATGCTCCCTAAGGGAGTATTCCATAACGTTGCAGCAGCTACATCAGTGCATTTTGGCATTTAACCCTACCAGGTACCCACTTATATTCCTGGGTGGAAAGAAGAAATGCAGAAATAGTGCCTTACCCAAGGACACAAGTGAAATGCAGGAAAACCCTGTCCTCGAGATTGGACCGCTGCGCCAAACCACTTCCACATATACAGTATCTTATGCTGATGGGTTTATTCATTGTAAGCATTGCTAATGTTCGACGCCGTCTTGACATTGATATTCCTCCTGAGTGTGAGTGATTGATCAGATGCCTTATTACATCTGCTGTGACGAATAAATCAATTCCAGCATCACCTTGCTGTTCTTCTTGGTGTAAACCGCATCTTTCACGATAATACTATCATGCGCTCCATCTTATGGTTGTGATGTAGAGCGTAATTAATAAAATTAATAATTATGATAGTGTAGTGGGTTAATAATAATGATAGTGTAATAGTGATCATGTTAATAGTAATACAGTAATATAATATTTATTTAAAATTTAATATATATAGTGATTTGATGTATAGTTATAGTAGTGTAATATTATTAACAAAAATTATGATGCCTATAATAGTACTACCGTAGAACCTTGAATAATGTAGGAGCCCGGTGGGCTTAATGTCATGAAGAAGCCATCTCAAAAAGAAGTCCCTCTAATTAGTTTGCAAAAGTAATCTGGAAAAGATTCCCCATCCCCTCCCGCCTTTTAGTTTGTTAAAAAGTAATTTTGAAAAGAAACCCATCTCGAAAAGAAGGACTTCTAGTCAAGATAATATGGGCTACATTTAGACTGACGTTATCTTTGATATGAGAACTTATCAATATTATTTTGTTGTACAACATGGTTGAAATAAAAAACTAAATAGATATTACTTAACCTGTGTACAGTGCAAATTCAGCAGTGCAACTTCAGCCATTCCTATCGCAATTGAGGCTAAATTTCTTTGAGCTATCCTTTCTGCAGACATGACATTTTAAGTCTTACATTAACAGTTTTACCTCGAGGGCTTCTAAATTCTTTGGTTTTATTTCTAGGATTTCAGTTGGCATGGGAGCCAAGTATATTTTATATGCAGGCCTTGGTTTTGCCCTTTCTTTATTATTTCAATGCCGGTTGGCATCCTCACAAGTTTACATACAGTACTGTACATCAAACTGAAACACATTCTGAAGCAGGAGTGTAGGGGCCAGGGCCCCCTTCCATTGGCAGGGCATTTATGCTGTTTTCTTTATTAGTTTTATTTTTTTTTTATAGTATATTAGGATATTTCTTGGTTACAGTATGTTTCTTTTAGTTTATGGTGAAGCACATAGGCAACTTTCTTGTATTACAGTATACATTATAAACTTACCTGAGGTTTGAGGATTTGTATACTGAAATATATACACAAAACCTGTATTCAGAAATATACCACATAAGATATAGGCCTATTGAATATAGTAATTCATTAAATTGACTACTGGTCCAAATTAGAGATTCTATTCATGTAAAAGTGCATGACCAATCCACATAATATTTTCTCAGACATAATAGTTGTGCATAGACGGTGGATTCTCTGAGCCTGTATCTTGAAATGAAAATAAGTGGCCAAGGGTTGTTATTGTGCACTGCTGTGGAGTGATAGTCTATTTATGTTATTAAAATAAATAATAATGATTAGATTGATATTTATAATACAGTAGGCCTAATAATTGTAATAAAGATACTCACTTATTATCTACAGGGGTTTGCCTGTTGGTTTTTTTTTCTATTTTGGTGGAGTGGTCTTAAATAATAAACAAAGGTGGTGCCAGGATTTTCCGGAAGAGGGGATTTTCAGCCCAAGTGGGCATGGTGTTTATGACCCCCTTTATTTGAAATACTGTAGAGGGGGGGTCAGGGGTGTTTCACACGTGGCGGGCCTAGACCACCCCAACCCCAGCACGGTTGGGGCTGAGGTAAAACCAATTTATGATTATCCTCCAGATTGCTGGAATATGCACTCTCACAATTAAATTTGAACATGATTTTCTTTTTTTCTCCATTTTAAAAATAATTTTTACAAATTTAGGGAGAACCTGGGGAACAAAGGAATCTTGAATCTTATTAACTAGCAATTTATCTTTAAGCCGTAGTTGGGCATTGGAAATCTTTTGATGTGGTGCTGATAAGATTCAGATCTGAAGACCCCTGAAAGTTAAGGGTATTTGACAAATTTGGGTGAATTTCATTAGTTATTCGGAAAGCAGTAGCGAAATGGGGCTAAGGTGGGTGTGGATCCCCCTGTCGAGAAACTTGGACCCTCATCTGGCACCGCCACTGGTACTGTAAATAACCCTCTATGGGGTGAATGTGGGTGAGTAAGAGTGAGGGTGGGGAATTCTTCTCCCTGGCTGGACCAATAATAAACTGCTTCCTACGGGCCAGAGTAGGCAATGCTCTTAAGCAACAACCCTTTAAACTTTGTTCCTAAAGAGCTGGGAGTTCTTTATGATAAACTTTTTTTTAAGAAATTCGTTTTACCCAATTCTTACATCTCTATGATTTTACTCAGCACTTGTTTTTGTTTTGTACTATTTAAATGGAATGAGAAGCGACCTTTCTGACCTATGAAACAAAACACAATATACGACCCTGGATACACATGCAATAAACTGTGTTTTAATTGTAGCAGAACAACAATGCATAATTTGTTGTGATGTAGTTGAATTAATCAACATTTTAGGGCCTACTATTTAATAGGAACTGTTAAATGGTAATATTGACTTATTATTCAAAGTACACTATCTTTATGGAGATACGACAGGTGTTTATCCTGAACAGATTTAGTTCTTCACAATAACTAACATTTGATTTGATTTTTCTATAATAAACAGAGAAAAATAAATCTCCTATCTATAAGTGTTTTGTAAATATTGTGCATACTGAACGGAATAACTATTAATGATATTAGTAATGATAATATTAATAATTTAAAGTATATGTTGATATTATTTTGAAAAAATCGCAGAGCAAAAACAAAAATACAGTACACTCAAGTTGGAAAAAAATTAACTTCTCCCCCCAGCTGCAGTAGGCAGCACTACCCCTTCTATTTTGTTATTAATAAATCCCCTTCATTGTGTTTCAAATTCCATTGTTCCCCCTTACCCCATTCCTCCCTTCTGGTATTACACTAGATGCTACTGCATCGTACACACATTCATAAATTTCTGCCTTGGCCACAGATACATGTCGATTTTCAGGATTTTCATCTTCTTAAGGGTCACTATCATTAATTCTTTGACCTTATATCTCATTTACAGCCATGTTTATATTATCATTTACAGGTTTGATTACAAAGAACGAACTGACAATTAGAAACCACATTGACGCAACTTAGCTCTATCGTAAAAGGACTGCTGGTGTTCAGACAAAATGTCAAAGCCTAGTAAACAGCAGCTTACGCTTCACAAGGTGATAATGGTCGGGAGCGGTGGTGTAGGAAAGTCCGCACTCACTTTACAGTTTATGTATGATGAGGTGAGCTACCACCATTAATTACATCTTCCTAATTTGCATAGGGAGAAGTAACAATTTAAAATATACAACAAAAATTGTCTGAATCTTGATCTATGGACAATTCCAGAAATTTTTTATCATATTTTAAATAAGTAATTGTTGGTTGTCTGTTAAGACTATATTTCTAAACTAAATGTCTTAATGTACTCTGCATTTATTCCCTGGTCAGCAGATACAGTACAGTTGCACTTACCTTCCCTCTAGCTGGGTGTTATTCTTCTGGCATGCAGTGGCTGCACTTAGTAGGATACCCCTGTCCCATCCATCGGTAACGATTCATTTGGAGTACAAAATTCCATGTTCATATTCTACATCACCTCAGCCTGGGGCGCAATCTGTTCTGATCCAGTGACGGAAGAGATGTGTGTTTCATTTATTTAGCAATTATGTTTGAACTATAATTAATTTTTCCAGTTTGTTGAAGACTATGAACCTACAAAGGCCGATAGCTATCGAAAGAAGGTGACCCTTGACGGGGAAGAGGTACAAATTGACATCTTGGACACAGCTGGTCAAGAAGACTATGCCGCCATTCGGGACAACTACTTCCGTTCGGGGGAGGGCTTCTTATGTGTATTCTCAATAACTGAACAGGAATCATTTCAGACAACCTCAGAATTTAGGTAGGTTTTTTTAATTGCTTCTAAGAAAGTTCAAATGTATATTATAGAGGTGTTGCTGTGATGTGATAGCATAGGCAAGGTTGTACCTGTAGAAAACTAAGGATGCGTGGCAGTGTTCTGAAGCTGTTTATTCATCATTTTTTCCTTGTCAAAATAACCTGGCCAACCAGTAAAAATGTTGTGTATTGTAAAAAAAAAATACCCACTGGTTAGGTCTAGGTAGTCTAGGCTTGTCTTCTTTCAATAAATGAACATCATTCCAGCATATGGCTAGGATATGTCTGTATGTGTTGTTTTTCCCAAGTCATTAAACCCCACTCAAAATGGGTAACAACTCATATTCAACGCATAGCTGAATTTTTATAGACAAATTTACAAGTAAAAATGTTAAAATTGTGAGAACACTGGGGTGGCAGACATATTAAGAGTGGATGGGTGATAACATTGGCTAACTCTGAATAATAAGAGTGGCTATTAGGAATGGGCAAGGGGTTAATCATGGTGAGTGAAGGGCCATGAAATTAGCTTTTGACTGGGTGAAAACTTCAAGGCTGGGTGGCTCCGCCCACATTAACATCCCTGCATAGGTAAGCACTGTTCTCATTGTATGCCGGCAAACGAGCTGTGGAGCAGACTGTTAAGTGAAAGGCTTGCTGAACAAACTGCTCTTGTGTGCGCTGGGCTGTATATGACTACACATAATAATGATAAATTCCATCAAATGGGGTCAGTTTTTATTTTTTATACCCTACTTCCGTGAAGAGTTAATATCTGCATCAAAAGAGTTAATACATATTAAGAAACAATAGACTTAATGATGTTTAAGAATTTTATTGTAAAATATCAATTTGAGAATAGCATATTTTATGTATCTGGATTCAATTCACTAACACACTGCAACTACCACTTTGGTGGCTTTATCAACTGATAGTCAGGTCCAGGTTTACACCTAAGATGTTTTACACATAATCTGTTATATTGTAGCTGTTGATATGTTCACATTTTTTAATAGGAAAGTTATAGATGCTAATATTTGTGTTGCATTCAACAGACGCAGATCCAGTAGGAGGCACGTAATAAATAAATAAATTTTTGTAATAAATTTTAATGCATATGAATGTTGTGTATTAAAATAATCACAACTCACTTATCTAAAGTGTTTCCTCCCTTCCCCATTTGAAAAATTCTGGATTCCCCCTGTTCAACATTTGTTATATGGATTTTGGTGCTATTTCCTTGACTAGTTAAATATGGAAATTAATAAACATTTAAGACATTTTTTTTTCTTTAGAGAACAAATATTAAGGGTGAAACATGACAGAACAGAGGAACAGATCCCATTTGTACTGGTCGGTAACAAAGCAGACCTGAACGAGAAACGCCAAGTTAGTCGTGAAGAAGCAACTAATCTCGCCACTAGCTGGCACATACCCTACGTAGAAACATCAGCGAAAACAAGGGAGAACGTTGATAAGGTTTGTGTACCTACCACTGATTCAAATTCAAAATGATATTCAAAATGACTTTATATTCAGTAATTGTAAAATACATTAGTGATATATACTATTCAGAAGAAGGAAAGTGGGAAAAAAATGTAAAATGAATCATTGGGATCATGATTATTTGAAATTTTTTCCAGGGTCTCAAGTTGTAAGAAGTCATTTTGCAGAGGTCTGGTTATGAGCTTTCAATAACATATCTAACTTTATTTTGCTGCGAATAGTGATACCCATCGGCACTGTTTTCCATGAGACAATTGAAAATGAAGTAGTAAAAACATGCAAATATTCTTAATTTTCAGAAGATGGGTTGTCTTCCGGGAGATTGTTTGCTTGCTTGCGGGAGTGCGAGAGACTGTTTCAGTTTCCATGAGACTTCCTCAACTTGAGGGAGACTTGTTTTATTGTGTGGTTTAACATTTTGTTGCATAAATTTGAAGAAGGTCAAACCTACTGTACACTCGTCCTAAATTTTAGTATTTGTCTACTTGAAGGAAGACAAGAAAGAGAATTTTATTTGTTCTGGTTCTTTAAAGTACTTATTTATTTGTTTGCTTCATTTATATTTATTTGGGCTTACTTTGCCAAAACCAGACTTAGTGACCAGAACACGAAAATTCACTTTTTTTCATATCCATTTAATATATTGTTATATTCGCCATACTATAAGCTTAAAAATGATAGGTCATTTACGGGAATCAACTTACTATTGGCAAAGTTATGAGTAAAATTATTATGACTTCGCTGTACTAAGGTATACAATACTGTAAGCCATATTCTTATGCTAATTACCCTTTTCAACATTTAGCAGCCGTATGCTGGTTTTGAGATGGCAAACCTCATTTAATAAATATATTTGATTTTAAATGTTTACCACATTTGGCAGCTATGATTCCCTTATAATTCAGATTGCAAACATAATATAAAATTCAAAATGTTTTCTTTGTGTTGATATATTTTATTCTTCTTTAGGTCTTTTATGATTTAATGCGGAAGATAAGTGAACAGAAAGCTGCAGAGGAAAGTACGCAAAATGGAAAAGATGGAAAGAAAAAGAAAAAGAATAAACGAAGAAAATGTTTAATTCTCTGAATAAATAAGTGAACTGTGTTCAAGAAAAGATTAAGGTTAAACTTAGCTACTGCACTGCTACATAATAAGGAGTTGATAACCAGGGGGTTATAGTTAAAGTACATAGTCAAATAAAATATTTAATATTGAGAGAGGGTTGGTGAGGGAGTAAATAGGAGGGAGGGGTGTGAATTCATGTTTGCACTCAATTTAATTATGTGCTATTTAGAAATATTAAATATGTCCACATCAAAGTAAAATCCACAAAGACTCTTATTTTAAAATTCATTGAGATATAGCAAAATGATGATCTCTGAAGCAAAAACTATAATTTAAATTCACCTAGCTTCATTTTTTATATATTTTAACAGCAATCTGTTATAAATTGTATGCAAAGAAAAAAAAATGTGGAAATGTGTCTATTCTAACCAGCAAGTGGCTTTATGTAAATAACCTACAGTTTGCTGCTCTAGGGATTGTCACGGTTACAAGTGCTGGTGCTAATGTTCGGCCAACATTAACTACAGGTGTTGCTTTTGGCATTGTCTTGATTACTGATGCTAAGTTTATATGCTGTTGACATGTCATCTCTCGTTAATGACCAAATTCAGATTGATTTTCCCAAAGTTGTGTAGTTGTGTTTCGGATACAGAATATCCGCATACATATCTTTATATCCACACAATCTCCTGTTGCAGAACAGTTTGCACGGTATCAATCTGACCAAAATTAATGATACGTGTATTTTAATGAAATTAGTTGTAAAAAATGACTCGCCCACCGTAATTATTCACCAGGTAATTGATTTGAGTTTGAGGTCTTTCGGGAGCAGAAAGCAAACTCAATACTATGTAGATGATAGTTATGATGGATCCCCAGCCAAATAAGGGTTTATACATGTCAACATTTATTTCCAGTGCTAATTCCTTTGATGCTGTATTTAGATTTAACAATCACATCTTTTTTATGACACTATGTTAACACTTAGTAGAAGTGGTAGTAATGTTGCACGAGATTGTGCTCTGCTAGAGCATATATACCGATATAACAATTTTAATATTATTTTTGTAAATAACGCAAATACAATACTTACTTGGTCCTCCCTCCAATTAGTGACCCCCTTCAATTATAGACCACCTCCAATTAAATACCACTTTTCTTTGGTTCCTTCAATTAAATACCACTTTTCTTTGGTTCCAAATTAACAGTTGTCTTTAATCTTTTTTATTTTAATTAGAAACTCAAGTTGCTAAAGACCACAAACCCTGGTTTTTAAATGGAGGCTGACCTGTATTAGGTTAAAAGTGATTTTCCCTTTAGAGGAATTTTATTTTTGCTATGAATTAAGGAAATCAAATTTGTAAGGTAGTTCAGAGCATATGGTATAAAAACACTGTACAATCTGTAAATGAGTTGTTGATTTATTAGGTTTAATCCTTATTTTGATTGTGATTGTTGAAGATGCTTTCTGCCTTAATTTACTAACCTCTCAATTATACTTGAATTGCAGTTTTTTCATGTTTAGATTTGGGGTAGAGTTGTATAGTGGCGACTGATTATCAACAGTTGTATTTTGAATGGCTAGTACTAATGGGCTGATGGCATTTGAAACGAGTTTAAATAATTGAATACAGATAGTGATTGGATGATGAATCGATTGTGTTGGTTGCTAATGAAGCTCATACTTCGTGCTCAGGCAAAGAAGATTTTCTGGCAACGTTAGGGTAGTGTTAGCGACTGCCAAAATATCAATTTTTATGAGTTGTGTTTTTGATAAAAATTTCTTTAATAATATTTAATTTTTACCTTTCCCGTAGGTGTGTTGCACATTTGCATGAAAAATAGAGGAAAATGAAATGTTATGAATGTATTGTTTTCCACATTAGTATTATTTGGGAAAACTTGCATGTTTCTTGTCAGATCTTCATCAGCTCACCCAAATAATTTTCCCCATTAGCCCCTATTTCAATCCTCGTAGATACTATACATTACAAAAGAGGAGTCTTGTCCTTTTTTAATCAAATGTGAACATTATTTTTTATTTATGTTTACGGGGTTACATCTTGCAAAATACTAGTAAGTCTGTCACTGCAAGGACAATAACATCCAATTAGAATTATAAATTCACTTAAGATTTCTATAATAATAGCCACTGCCTTAAAAAAAAAATGCCTTTCATGAAGTTAAAATGATGGAACAGAGTGGTGTTCTTGAACCATTTATTAATTTTTAACAATCAGCAAAAGATATTCACCAGTTTTATGGTACCTACCATATCATAAATACTTGTGTTGTGCAAGGTGTGATGGCAAAATTTGGCAACATTATTTTAATAGGTTTATGTACAAACAATAGCCAATGCTATATTCCATTCTATTACAGGCTTTATTCATATTAAGTTAAGAACATGATAAATAAATTTAAATTGCCGGTGCATATTATTGGAAATTTGAATTACACAAAAGCTTCCATCAAAGTGGAATCCAACTGCTGTGTATTTAAAATTTTATATTAATTATCTTAATGTGAGTGCTAGATTTGTTTAATGAAAAATTCTTTCACTTAAAAAAAAAAACTATACTTTCAAATTGCAGAATGAATGAAATGAAATAATCTACAGTAAGTGAGGTCTCGCCACAAAATGAGATGCATCATTGGTAAAATCATATTGAGATATTTACCAAAATCTGTCAAACTTTTTACAAAACTTTGATCTTACTGTTTTAAAATAACTTGATACATATTTTATGATTGTATACTTTTTAAGTGAATTTTCTTACCAAAACAGTGTTCTCTGTGCATATTCTGTAATTCTAGCCCTATTATTTGTACAGGTTAGTTTATCTTTGAGGCCGATTTTCTAATAACATGGTTCTCATACACCTAAATGCTCACATCTACTTCTCCTAAAGAAGCCTTTCAAAGACCACACTAAATCAATTTTCTAACCATGAGACTCATTTTGTGGTGACACTTTGCTGAGGTATAGAGAGATGAATTGTTATTTTTTAGTCATGTGAAAAAAAAAATCCCTGTTTCTCACACAATTTGATCTCAAGATCTTGAGATGGGGAGGCAGGCATTTTAAACAAAACACAGCTTAGCACAAGAAAAAAAAATCAAAGGTTTTTAATATCACATTATATTTTGATACAATTTTTTAAGTATGATTTTGTATCAAGTAAATTAGCGCACTTATATGATTATCAAATTTTTCTTGACAAAACACAGTTGTATGCCCATATATATTCATGATGTGATGTCATTATGACCATATTTAGGCATATCCTAGTTTTTTCAAATAATCACTAGTGTACAGTAGTAGTAAACAAGATTGACACACCTTATGGTATTTATTTAAATTATATTATGTTACTGCTAAATTTACAGCAGTTTTGTATATGCCTCCTTTAAAGTACCTCTGCTCCTTGGTGTAAAACAAGATTTAGGCCCAAGTGAATCTTTTTAAAATCCATCTCTACCCACATTAGAAACTTTTCTTTGACAATTACCTCTGATTTGTCCATACATGATACCATATGGCATCATTATTTTGACGGGTTTCAGATATTTGTCACATAAAACCCAATGTTTTGTCCATACAATACAATTTTGTGTGACAAATTTGTGTTATGTGCCAATACGTAGGAATAATGATGACATATTTATACACCAAAATATGGGCACATTACATGTATTTGTCACATAAAACTTAATAATGCTTTGTTTGCACTATTAAATGTTATGTGGCCAATTTTTTTAATGTGCCCAAATATTGACATTATGATGTCATTACACCAAATATGAGCACATCATGTGTGTGTTTTGTCGTCAGTATCGAATTTTATGTGACAAATGCATGTGGTGTGGCCATATGTGGGTATGATGATGTCATGTTACACCAAAATATGGGCACATTTATTTGTCACATAAAATTTGGTTGTGTGGACAGAGGTTTTGTAGAGCATGGCTAAAGATATACTGTCTAGGTTGAGCTTCTAAGCTTCATAATAGAATTCAGAATTTATAATACTTTTTAAATTTAAATAAATTAAAATAGTTTAACACAAATATTTTTCTTGCCAATCACCAGATTCATAAATTGCTAATGTGGTTTTGCATAGAATATTAAAAACTCAATGTTAAAAATGTATTGTCCCCTGAAAATAATAAAAAAAAAATAAATAAATAAAAAAAAAAAATAACAATTTAAAATTAACTTGCTCATTTTGTAGTAACATACAAATTATTTACTGCAACATACAACTTGAGCATAGAAATTATTTAATAAAAATGTGTACTCTGAATTTCATACAGAATAATGATAAAAATAATAAAAACACTTCCAATAAATGCAAAGTGTTTCTGTCGTCTTTTACTGTAAAATTATGGGTAGACACTTTTTAAATACGCTTAAATTTCTATGTTTAAGTTGATTTTATGTTACTTCTAATTACCGGTAAGTTAATTTCAACAATGATTTTTATATTTTTTGATACTCATCACTTGACAATACATCTTAAATTTCCAATAAATTTCATAGAGTGAAAAGTCTAAAAATTATTGGTACCTGAATTGTTTGATCCTTTAAAATGAGTAAACTTTTGTCCACACTATCACATTTCATGTGACAGTAAATGTGCTATGCTCATATTATTTGGCTATAATATGATGTCATCATGTCCATATATGGGCACATCACACAAAGTGTGTCGCATACAATTTGTTTAGTGTGGACAGAGCCTTATTTGTGTTTAATCGGTTTAAGTATGACCTTTGCCTATGACAGACAGTGTATCTTTAATCTTAACCGGTTTTATGGAATTGGAACCAATATAAGTTCTTATTTTGTATGGTATAATATTTTAATAAAGTACATTTCCTAATGGTATAGAGTATATGTGTATTATAGATAATTACTGAAAGCATTGTATATTTGAGTTTAAAGATTTATTTAATTTTTTTTTTTTTTTGTGTACTCCCATTTTTATATGTGTCCCCTCATTTTTTTGATGACGTCACATGGTAGAGTTCTATTAAAACAGAATGAAAATATCTATCTTCTATCAGTTTTTTGTTTGTTCTTGAGAGTGCTCAATCGTACCAACCAATTAATAATTATATCATTTTCCATCAATACCAAAGGCAGATTCGACAGGAACCCAACCAGTCAACCTGGGCCTCCTAATCTTTTGGAAGTTAAATAAATGGGGAAAAGAAAATTGCATTAAAATTTTAGTTTGAGAATGGCATTCCGTCCATCAGATGTGTATAAGAGACAGCACCAAATATGAGCACATCATGTGTGTGTTTTGTCGTCAGTATCGAATTTTATGTGACAAATGCATGTGGTGTGGCCATATGTGGGTATGATGATGTCATGTTACACCAAAATATGGGCACATTTATTTGTCACATAAAATTTGGTTGTGTGGACAGAGGTTTTGTAGAGCATGGCTAAAGATATACTGTCTAGGTTGAGCTTCTAAGC